TGTCAAATTAACGATCTATGCCAATTGATTTTGGCATAAAATAGATTATCTATCTATCCGTCTATCTATCTATTTTGAGAACCCCAGAGTAAAAAATAGTATCAAAGTCACAAAAAATTTGAATTATTTGAAAAATGAAGTTTTAATGAAAACATAAAAATTCTATCAATAACCAATATCTACTTAATTGAAGTTAATCACCAGCTTTGTTAAAAAAAAAACTGTAATTATTCGTTTAGTATTTCAATTACTGTTTAAAAAAATTTTTTGACTTCTTTTCTCATTATAATTTTTAATTCTTAGTGTTTCAAAGCATCAATGGATTCTCAAAGAACGTGATGGCGACTAAGAGGTGCTCGGCTGAACCCAAAATATGTTATACCTGATTGGCGTTTAAACCGGTTATTATTATCCATGTTTTGGGGATGTATGAGTTCATTTGGATTGATGGAATTAGTTGAAGTGGGCACTCATTTTGGTGCATCTGATTACATCGAAGTACTTAAAACTGTGAAATTGCCTGCAATAAGAAGAGATTTTCCTGCTCTCAAATACCCGAAGATCTATTTTATGAAAGATAACAGCCCACACTGAAAAAAAAGTTTTTTTCCTCCTAGAAAACTTTTTCCTGTGGTTAAAAAAAAAAGTATTCCTAAAATAAGAATACCAAAGTTTACTATCCATAGGAATAAGTTTACTGGATATAAAAAAACTTGGTATTCTCATTATTAAAATACTACAATCAATATGGCCGACTTAACCTCGCTTGGTCGACACGAATCTTTAGGATAGATAATTATGAGAAACTATACTATTTATAATTCTTCATTTATAAACAATCTATCACACTAAAATTAATAAAAATGGAAAATAGTATATTAAGCCTTTCTTTTCTTATTTTTAATTCTCATTGTTGTCAAAAAATTGCAATTTCCTGCTAATAGCATTATTTTACTAATTTACTAATAACATTACTAAGGTAAAAGACATAGTTATTGACGCTTGCAATTTTATTTTAATTAAAAAAAAAATCAACTCTGATAATTTAATAAACATTATATTTGAATTATAAATTTTAAAATAATTGGTTTTTTGAGAACATTTTATTTTTTTAATTAGAATAAAATTGCAAGTGTCAAACAACCAGGCCAGTGAAAATAATTGGGTCTTCTACCTTATTATAAAAATTGATTATATATAAGGAAAGAATGTATTGCTAAAAATGAGTTATAAATTTGTTGGAGATGATAAATCCGAACAAAAACAGTTTCACTGTAAAAAAAATCGCGCCAAGTCCACGTTCATAAGACTATTAAGAAAAAACACACAAATAAATATTTAGGTAAGTAGACTCAGGCACGAGGTAAACTAATAACTAAAAAACACGCGTACACTGTAGATTGGAGGGAAATGACAAAATAGTGGCGCCACCGTCACGGTTGCTATGGTAACATAGAATTTAGTTTTAGTCCTGTTAAAAAACTTGGTATTCTCAGATTTAAAATACCAGTTTTCTTAAATCTAAAATATTTAACTTGACTTTTACTAACTACAAGAAAACTCGACTAAGAAATATTCAGTATTCCGGGTATAAAAAAACTTTTTTTTCAGTGCAGTCTACACAGCAAAGATCGTGAAGGAATGGTTTACTCCCCATCAAAATATTGTTCTGTTGAACCATTCACCAATGCTATTTGTTATCAATTTGTTGTTTCTTTATCACAAATTTGAGATATATAGGGGAGCGTGGAACGCGACGGCCCCCTGGGGTACGATGGCCTCTTTCAAAGGTTTGGTCAAAAAATTTTTTTTTTCGTTTTTTGTCAAATTATCATGAATTTGACGTATCTATGCATTTTTGAGCCAATTTACAATGCCTAGGGTACAATGAACTACTCAGAGAAATATTCTAAGAAAAAGAATTTTTTTTATTACTCATGCGGGATAAGTAGTATCTTAGCGCTTGTTGTTGCGGTTGAAAAAGAGATGAATGCCTATTTTAAAATTGCGCATGAGTTTTTTCGTAAATGAAACCGTTATTTGAGTGCGACAAGTTTACTTGGCGCACGCAAATAATACTTCGCGAACGCAAACTATCCTTGTCGCACGCAAATTGACTGTAAAAACTGCTAAAATTAAAATAAATAAAAAAAAAAACACAATCTTACTGTCAATATTAAAAAAGTGAGATTGACATTACATAGCTCATATTTTTAACCAAAGTAAAAATAATTAATTAATATTGAGCTGTTTGATTTTAATACAATAAATTTAGCAGATATCTGATAATTTTAATAATTTTTGTAACAAATAAATTATAACAAAAAAAAATTTTTTTTAAATTGATATGTAGAAATTTAAAAAAATAAAAAATCAAATTTTTCACAAATAATTTTTTGGAACGAATTTGTTTGTTAAAGAAAATTAAAAAATTGTAAAGTGACAGCTAAATTTAATGTCATATAATTTTATGTGATGATAGTTTCAAATAAATTTATATTTTGTTAATTAATATAAATTACTTTGTATTTATTATTTGAAATATATTTGTTTTTTTTTTTAATTTTTAATTTGTTTTTAGGGACTGGGGGGGGGGGGACTACGCATAATATACTATTGTTATCGGCAAGTTATAAAATTGTTCTAAGGTAAAAGCCCCAATAGATGCTCATGTACCAGAATATGATCACTCCATGTATTTGTATACCTATATTCACAAATAGGGTAGAAGTACCGTTTGTGGCCACTGTACCATTTATGGCCATTTATTGTTTAAATAAACGATAGAAATGAATTTATATTAATAAATCATTACAAACTCAATTTGTTTTAATATAAATTTTTTAAAACTCAACAATAATATGGTTATATTATAATTTTTTATAAATTAATTAAAATGTTAACTGGCCAAAAACGGTGCTAAGGTGGCCAAAAACGGTACTTCTACCCTATAGATATACAAATACATGGAGTGATCATGTACTATGGTACATGAGCATCTATTGGGGCTTTTACTTTATAGAATGATTTAATTTGCTAAAATTTATTTAGAATCACACGAGTTATCTGAGGTAAAATGAGCCACCCAAAGAACTAGAGTAAAAAATTATTTTTAACAAATTAAAAAATCTTCAGTTAACAAAATGATTTTTTTGAAAAACTTGAATATTTTTCGTAAGTCTAATATATGATGTAACATCGAAACTTATTGAATAACTTCAAAAATAAATTATGATAAAAAATTGACCTTTTCTGTAATAAAAGAATCACAAATCAGAAAAATAATTTGGATCAATTTAATTGTTTTGATGATGATGATGTTGATAATGATGATCCATTATACATTTACGTCACTGGTAAGTCACGATTCCACGTAATACTGATGTGACTTTTAAGTTCCTAGTTTACATCAGTAAAAAGTCACAGTTGTACGTAATATTGACATAACTTTGAAGTCATCTTCTTACATCACTGAAAAGTTCTGATTGTACCTAATACTGATGTAACTCTGAAATCTTTTTTTTACATTAGTGAAAAGTCACAATCGTACGTAAGGCTGACGTCATTTTGAAATCATCTTTATACCCTGTTAAAAAAATTAGAAAAACCGGAGACCCTGAAGGCCATTCCTGCAACTTCCCGCTAATTCCATACCTAGGTGCTTAAAATTGCACTAATGATGTTTTTGAGCTCTCTGAGGTCAAAAACGCAATTTATGTGTTATTTTGAGCTCTCCAAGCTCAAAGAGATAGCTCTTCTATGCGTTTGAGCTCAAAAGTCTGATGGAAGTTTCATAGAACAATATTTTTTGAATTTTCAAACCGCAATAACTTTTGAATGGGTCAACCGATTTTCACGCAGTTGGAGGCATTCGACGCAGTTTTTTCAGCCTCACAAAGAATCTTCAATTTCGAATTGATAAAACTAGGAAATTCGGAGTAATTCCGAAAAAACACTTTTTTCGGTTTTCTGTCGTGCGATATCGGTTTAGTCGATCTTGTCACTGTTTAGAATGCTTTTTTTAACTACTAAAGCTGCTATTAAGAATAAGTTTTTTTTTCGAACTTTTTCGTTTAAAATACGTCTTCTCGGTTTATAAAAATACTCATATAATAATGAACAGACTATGTCCGATGACAATCAGAAAATATTCTTCCCACCCGCAAAATCATTTAAAAAAATTACTTTAAAATTTTTGTCAGAAATTAAACTTTTTGGATTTTTAAATACTCAATTAATGTGATTAAGCTCAAAATTTTTAAGCTACCAATTTTAAAACTTGGCTGTTCTTAACTGGTAATTCTGTTAAAAACTTAACCCTTTTGTGTTGATCGTGATATCGTGCTACATATTAGCCAGGTAATGACTTCTTTAACTAGAAATAATAAATTTCTATTAATAATGAATTAAAAATTTTAAATCATAAATTTCAGAAATTCAAACAATTATACGTTCGTCAATATTATCAAAAATAATCTATTAGAGTCATTAATACTATAAGCGAAAAATGTTACAATACATAATATTACAGGAAAGTAAAATAGGGTAGGTTCATAGTGACAAGATAAAAGATTTATCAAGAAAATATTTAAATTATACAATCGTGATTTTTCTTTAACTACAAATACTTTTTGTTTTTAATGTTAGAATATATATTGTACACTCTGATTATTTGCGCTCTCTTGAGACACAGAGCCCGTATAAATTACAAAATTTACAACTAAATATTTGTTTGCATACATAATTTATTTAAAAATAAAATTTTTCGATATAATATTTCAATGAGACTATTTAAACTGTTATTCATTTATAAAAGAATAGAAAATATTTTCAAGTAAGACCCGTATTAAGATTTTTCAATGCAATTTCAAGTATAAAGAAACAGGTCTTGAATAACTGACCTGAGATGCCTGTTGAAAGATCATGTCGTAAATTATATGCTCATTTTAAAGCAGCTGCTCAAAGTTACTATTTAGATATTTATGATTTTTTGTTTAGATTCAACTGAGCTTCTCTGAATAGGAATCCACGCCACGATAAGAAAAATGTTCCTGACTTGGATATGGATGCTCTTGCTGATATTGGTGATAGCTAAGATAAGATCCTTGTAATTGATGCTGATGAATGTTGATAGAGGGTTGTGGTCCTGAATTGCCGTTATGGTTTTGCGTCACGTTATGAAATATCGGAGGTGTAGTGTTAATCGATGGGATAGCTGGAAGTTTCTCTGGTTCGCATTGTTTTAAAGGCGGGATTTCTTCACTGTAGCCTGAATCAAGATTGAATCCAGTTTTGCAATCTTTTTTGGCCTTCATTCTTCTATTTTGAAACCAAATTTTGATTTGCCTTTCTGTGAGACATAATGTGTTTGCAATCTCATTTCTTCTTCGCCTTGTTAAATATTTATTATAGTGGAATTCCTTTTCCAATTCCAAAGTTTGAAAGCGGGTATATGTTTGTCTTGTACGCTTTTGGCCCATTGAATTAGTATCTATAAAAAGTTAACGTAAGTTACTTTCAAAATAATAAAATTACTCAAAAGAAGGTTAAAAGTAGATATTAAAGAGTAATGAGATGATTCGGTATAAATTATCATTTACATATAAATAAAAATTGGCAAAGTTAAATAAATGAATAAAAAAAGGTTCAACTGCATGATGACAATCATCAATACTAATTATAAATAATAGAAGATATGTCATAAAGTCAATTGTTTAATTCTTAAATTCCGTAAGTTATACTCAAGGTCATGTGATATTTGTACTACAATTATTTAATTAATTCATTTTAAAACTTTAAAAACTAAAAAAAATGTTTAAATATGGAATAATATGAAGGCATTCGGTGAATTGATGAACTGATTGCAGTAAAAATATCAAATGATCTTGACATTTATTGAGCACCTGATGAAGTCATAATTCATGAAACATTGCAATTAATATTAGAATTGAATATCATTGATCAAATCTTTATAAAATTGTCTACTTAATCATAAAATAAATAATTAAAATGTTTTCTTTACCGGTATAACTCGACTTCATCCAAGGATAATCAACTTGTTGATTAAACAGTAATTTACTATCTTCAGGAGAGTGTGCAATATCCGAGTCTTCATATTTATTATCTTCATCGGAATCATAATCAGTATTAGTTTTAAAATTTTCCGTATCTCTCACTAGACTCGGATAATTACAGTTTTTGAACTTTTCTTCAGTTTTCACTAAGTCTTGAGATAATGGGAACTTTTCTTGTGATGAAGTATCTGAATTAATAATTTTTGTTGGAGAACTTCGATCCGAACAAGATGAAGAATTGTATGGAGAAGTTGTATTTGGCGTATATGCACTTGAATGTAATCCGTGATTTGGTTTACTACCTAAATGTGGGTATATTCCAGTAACTGCTTCTTTTCCATGCTTTAGAATAGTTTCCAGAAGACTTGGACGTGGAGCTACATTTGAAGAGATATTATTATTAATACCAAAATTTAATGAATTTTGTTGTTGGCTCGGATATAGTTGCGGGACTTGCTGGCATGGTGTCATAGAATGTGCTGCTTCGGCACTTGATGCATCATCAAATGGATGATAAGGCCAATATCCACTTTCAGTGTTTGGATAATACGCCGAGCTTGTCATTATGAACACTTACTTATGTAATATAAATAACATTCAAACACTTAAAAGCACTGCACGCTATATTAAAATATCAACTCAATGCAGTAAACTGCTTAATAACTTATTTTAAAAATTTTTAATACTGTAAACTGAACACTTATTTGGTAAATGTAAGAATTTTTTCTCATTTATTTGCTTCTGTACGCAATCGTTGTGACAAGAAATGTACCGAGGCGACCGGTAAAGTGAGGCGAAATGATTTGTGCAGCTCGGTGACAATTTCGTTGGCTAGCCAAGGGGGGATGGGGCTTCAGGATGAATACAATAAGGTACAGGGGTTGACGCGCGTGCCAATGGTCCCCTGAAAACTTTCTCCAGTTTATTGTAGAAAAGGTCGTCAAAGTAGAGGGGAGAAAAGACTATCCCTCATGCAGCGTGCCCCGCCAAGTTTTAGGTTTTGAGGGTGCTACTATCAGCTGCCTTGAGCCTTGAGTGCAAAAATATATATTAGTAGAACACACAATGGCCATTTCTCCATCAGAAAATTGAATTAGAAATTTATTATATTTTCTAATGGAAATTGTTTTATAAATTATTAAATGTAACCATTTTTCATTTCTTATAAATTAAACTAACAGCATTACCTGTCAAGAAATTTATTTTCGGAAAAAAATTTCGATATCACATGTAACTATGAGTCATTTAAAAGGTACACATTTTAATTATCGTTAAAAGTGTTTATACATACATGATATACATGTATAGAAGCATTGAATACGCTAATGTCATTTCAGGTTTGTGAACGAAGTAAACAAAGCGCGTGGTAAAGCTAGATATAGAAAGTCTTGCAAGTGACATCTCTTTCTAAAAGTTCACTAGTGTCGATTAATCACCCCCCTCTACACTTTCATTCCCTTTTTCATTGACGATTTCTCACGTATATAATACATACACATTTTATACGACTGTCGCCTTCTGTTCTTTTTCTTCTCCCATCTTTTTTCAGGTACATTACAATCTGGTTACAGGCCGTAGCTTTATCTCACTTGTACTTTTCGAAACAATTTTATATATATATATAGATGTAATTTTTAAAAGAGCGAGTAGAACCTTCGAAGTTGCTTATAACCAGACTTCAGTGACTTTTATCTTACATCATTTATTCGTTTTATAATATAGACATTACTACCATAGGGAGACTGGTTGACGAATTGAAAATAATGTTTAATTGTGTATGCTCCTCGGTTTTAAAAACCATGAACATGTTTAGATAGTTTGTCATAAAGTTATTTATATACTGATTATTTTGTTTTTGATCGATAGGTATATTATGCATTGAAAATATATGTGATATGATTCTTCAATTGTCATTGTTATTGCAAATACATATTCCAGAAAAATATTTTCTGAATGTACAATAGTCCTTACAAGATAATCCCTTTGTGCATGTCTAATGAGATAAGTATTTACTTGATGTCTTTTTGATAGTATAAGCAACCAAAATTTTTACCAGTTTTTAAAATTAGTTAGTTAAATAAAAATTTAACACAATAGATTCAAGAATCAAACATTAAGAAAATAAATACAATTGTAATAAACCTAATGCTAGCCGCAAACTATGTAAAAATAGTTGAGGCTGTTCTTCGGGTGAATGATTAATGATGTTCGTATATACTTATATGACCTAGACTGGAAATAATATATGTTTTATAGAACATTGTCAACCGCCTAAAGCTATAGTAATTCTCGAGTAAATAGAGAAGAAAAATAATATAATATACCTTATTGTATATAATTAAATGTAAGTTCGTCAATATAAAGTTTGACAATTGATTTTCGATAATACATTAAGTTATTTTTAAAAATAAAATAAAAATCTAGAAAGTTAAAATAAGCACAACTAATAATGTTCATTAAAATTTTAATAAGAATGAATGTTTTGTTGCTTATTTATAAAGTGTAAAAAAATTTTATTATCCTTGGTTAATTTTTTATTTTAAATATTTCGCGGTGTTTGTTAACTTACTCAAATGAGTATTAACTGGAATTATAACGCATGCGCATAAGGAAAATATTTACCGATATACAAAGAAAAAATATAACATTTATTTATTAATTATTAGTACAATGATTCGCATTAATTAATAATAAAACTTTAGTTTCAATTTGAATCACATAGAAAAAAATTCAATTTTTCGGAAATTGTTGATAATTATAATTATGTGCGTTTATTGTTTTATTGACGTAAACAATAAATTTAGAAATAAGTAGCTAAATTAAAGTAAAAGTTAAATATTTGAAAATTTTCTCAGATGAAACTTTTAGAAGTACTGTAGGTACAAATATTTTAGATTTTACAATAGTGAGCAACATTATACCTGAGTTTTACAATCAAGATATTGTTGCCGAAACTATAGTGTTGATAGTTTATGGACTTACTTTCGTTTCTGTCTCAAGATTACCTCTCATCTACTAAACTTTAGCAAGGGGACACGTGCATAGCCACGCGCCTGTTGCATCCTTGTAGCATCTTCATGTTAATTTTTATTACGTTTGTCTCGTCATTGTGTTGTTTCGGTAACAAAAAAAATTTTTGAAGGTCACTACAAATTTTATTCTACTGTAAATACCTTCCTACCTGGTTTACCTAAGCTCTGCCGGCTTCCTTTGTACAAGCCATATTATTTCTTTACTGATGACACAAAAAGCTATAAAACTTTCACTATTGTCGTTTCAATTGGTCTGGGGAGCGCTCAAGATTTATGCTGGCAAATATGGAGCGAAGTAAATTGAGCAAAGTATGTTACAGATCCTTTTCGTCACCCCTTTGTTCATAAATTGAAATGTTGTAGTTTTTGAAAACCATAAGATAGAACATTGAACCTACCATTCATATAATATTTTACATAATATAATGCAGGCAGCACTCTATTTATTTGAATTAACAGTTTGTGAATATTTATCAGTGTATTTTGCAGTTCAGGATATATTTGATTATTTATTTATTTTTTAAACATTGAAACGGAATTTTTATGTTTATATATTTACTATCATATTTATTAAACATTATTGTTGGCTGAACTAATTTAATCGGGGGTAGTGTGGTGTAGTAAGTAATGGCGCAGACTCCAAAATCGACATATGTGCTCAAAATGTACCCTCCCAGGGTTATGAAAAAAGGAATACAATTGACCAAAAGGGCGGCGTTTGCAACCGTTCGAAAAATTCTGAATTACTAAGAATAGACAATAGGCTTCTGTATACGTGATTTATATTTTATTTGCAATATGACGGAACAATTGCGTCGATCAAATTAATTTAATTTTTTATTAGATATCGATTTTGAAGTAAAATTGACGAAAGTTCAAAATTTTTAAATCAGTAGAATTTGTAACTTTTCCCCATGGAAATTGTATACTTCCGAGTGCGAAAATTATCGGTTTCGGTGTAGTTCTATTAATCGAGTTTTCATCAGATTATTTATAGCCGGATACGTTTAAATGTATGTATGGTGGGTATACATGCGCACGTGTATGAGTGTGTGTGTGTCTGTGCGTAAATAAAATTTTCGCACGATTTGATTAAATTTTCTAGTCAAATAATTGGGTAATGTCAAGGTAAAAATATATATTTTTGACATGATTTTCAGACTTTCCATCTGTCCAATTTTAGAATTTATAAATTTTACCGCATTTAAAAATGGCGTAAAATCTTGCAAATAAGATTGCACCAAAATGTATCGACTTCAAAAAATATCGCTGTTCGAAATTTTCATAAAGATACTTTGTTTTCGATTGAATGAAGAAATTGAGAATGAATAAGAAAAATAATTTGAGAGCCCGTTTAAACTCACTCTTCTTTATCCTAATTTTTGTTGAAAAAATATGTAACTTTTTGAATTTAAATTAATTGTACTTACTCCAAAATCTTTTACACGAGTATATTTTTTATTGATGCCAATACTGGTAACTCAGCTTGTAGGGTTCATTCTTAAGGTATTGTAAAACAATTTTTTCTATGATATATTATCCATTATTCCTTCGTAAATATTGCTATCGAGTAGAAACAAAAAATTTTATTCAGCATTTTTAATACATACAGAATGTAGCGACTAAAACATGAACAAATTGACTTTCCGGCAAAAAACATTCAGACCTGGTCAGGTCTGAAAAATGACCGGGCATGGACAGGCCTGATCAGACCTGAATAGGTATGAGTCTTCAGATTTGAATTTTTTTTTTTTTTTATAAAAGTTTATTTATTTGATACAAATAATCTTATAATTATAAGTTAAACAAACTAAATAAAAAACTTTTTATCTTCAGATTTGATCAGGCATGAAACATGACCGGGCACGAATTGGTCTGATCACATCTGAACAGGCCTGTTTATGTCTATGAAAAAACAAAAATCCCGGGCCGAGCAGGATTCGAACCGTAGACCTTGCACTCTCTAGTCTGACTAGAGAAGAAAAAAAATTCTAATAGGTCCTAACAAAATTATTATTATAAATTACTTACTATGACAATTTTTTCAAAATTTGGAATTTTTTCAAATTTCTAATTTTTTCGAAAATTTGAATTTTGATCTTAAAATTCGAATTTTTTTTTGTCTTCAAACTCGGAGAGCTCAAAATGATACGATAATTATATTGTGAGCTTGAAGAGCTCAAAAACGTAATAAATGCAATTTTGAGCGCTTAAGTATGGAAATAGCGGGAAGTTGCAGGGGTGGCCTTTAGGGTCAACCGTTTTCCTAATTTTTTTCAATTTAAATATTTCTTTGATACCGACGAGAAAAAATTTATGTATGAGACTTATTTTGATTGATTAAAAATTATTTATATTCATTTAGTCCGGTATTTGAGTGGTAGGAACAAAAATTCATTTCAAATTCATTCCCGATTGAATACAGTGTAAAATTTCTAAAAATGAACGTTATTAAAAATATTTAATGTTATCTTGTAGCCCTAACAGGAAAAATCTTGTTGCTCTCACAGGATCAGTCCTGTTACTACAATA